ACCTATCTACTCCTGATTCGTCCATTAATCATGGTAGAAGTATTTAATCAGTTGATTTTCTTAATATCAAAATGAGGATCGATAGTTTTCCTTAATATAGCATTTAGATCTATGTTGAAAGTAAAATTACAGAAGTTTCTGCAATACACAAATGACTTTATTGCGTACGATTCAAATAGATTGAATAGTTTTGATCAGTCCTTGAGATATAGGAGTAAAATGATCAGAAATGAGGGTTGATATCTTCAAAAATGCAATTTGACATACGTACGTCATATGACATTGCGTGTAAGTAACTTAGGCCTGTGGGTTGCCAAAAGTCAGTGGCTTTTAAAGACTTTACAAAATGTTTTGTAGTCACTAAGTTCCATTAACTGTTGTTAAGCGCTTGCGAAAACCTAAGATGATGTTTCTATGGGTCAGATGAAGAATTATGTTTAAAAATCAATCTGACTTCCCATCTTATTTACGAAACGTTGGATAGTTACTTATAATAACCATACTAAATTGGAAATACCATGGATCCACGAATTTTCAATCTCCCTCAGACAATTGCACATACTATATATTTCCCTATTGTCGCTTTTTCCTATTTATCGTCCACTATTATTGGTTGTTTTCGGCTTTTTCTTGCTCTTTTATTGTAAACTATGACGTAATGGTTCTATCTTTGTTTATTATACGTCCATTATATGTAAATCCGAACACTTCTGGTTCGTGTTTGCTGGAATTTTAATACAATACATACATTTTTCTTATCTAGGTTGGGAATAAGTTGTATATTTGATCCAGTTGCTGTCGACGTTGCAGACCAAGAGATGTGGAAAGATGTTTCTCAAAGATATTGGTATTTTGATACATATTTCTTGCCAAAGTGTACTTTTGATCCTGGTGAAAAGGACTAATAAAGTTTATTCAGTCAAAACACAATGTTTTGTTTGTTGTGGTTTTAAAACAGCAGTATGATTTATCAAAGCGCTGATATTTTCGTATACTGTTTCGTCGTTCCCAATGCATACACGTGCTTAAACAAGTTAATTTTGATTCAATGATTAGTTTTAATTTTATCATTTATCGGCAATGTAGAGGAAATGGGTCGAATCCTTTTTCTTGCACTATATGGTACACAGTGCTTCTAAAACGGAGATTCACTGTTAATTCATGGCTGTTCGACATAACGGATAATAACGAAGTCTAATAGTCAGACTTTAATTTCATGGGTTTGTTATTGACCTACAAGAAGTCATTGACGTTGTAAATAAATTTTAATCATGTTTGTCATTTTGCTTACTTTCGTTAATTGGGGTATTGTATTAGTAACTAAGGTTCCGTGAATAACTATCATTACTTCACATTATTCGAATCAGTCCAACCGATCGGTGAAATATTTAACGACCACACATTTCCTCCGTTATAACACTATAGATGTTTGGTTTGATGAACCTCATATTTCATAAATCATCCATATTGATTTATAATTCAATTAAGATAAATGATAGTAATTAGGCTAACTTGATAACGAGGGTGAGCTAATTAATGCACCCTTTAATTCTTGCTTAACTCTTCCGAAATATATGCGTATTTTGGATAGAACACAGCTTCGGTAGTTTAGCCTCGAACCCATATTTGTTAAGTTTAAAACAGTCTAACAGAATATAGCTTTCCGGCAGAAGTTTGCATATTTTTAATTATAACTCAAAATCCCTCATAAAAATCGTCGGACCGATGTCACAACGGTATTGATCTTCCAGGAGGTCCACTTATCGATTTAGAATACGCAGATTACATAGTCCTGTTTGGTGAAGCCACTGATAAAATGCAGTCTTTTGGTAGCACTAAGCAACAATGCCAGAATGTTTGAAATGCGCTTCTCTCTCTCTAAATGCAAGCTGCTGCTTCAGGACTGGTCTACGTCAACACCTGAAATAAGGATAGGGAATGAAGTGGTCGGACGCGTTGACAACTTCACTTATCTTGGAAGTCTGATCAGCCCTAATGGGTTAGTGTCTGACGAAACCTCAGCACGGATTCGAAAAGCTCGCTTGGCTTTTGCCAACTTACGTCACCTATGGCGAAGGCGAGATATCCGTCTATCAATTGAGGGACGAGTATACTGCGAGGCAGTTCGTTCTGTTTTAATTTACGGCAGTGAAACATGGCCATTAAGAGTAGAAAACACTCGTGAGCTACTAATATTTGACCACAGATGCCTTAGAAATATTGCTGGCGTCTGCTGGGATCACCGGGTAAGTAATAGTGAGGTTAGACGCAGGGTATTAGGGAATGATGGTAAATCAGTTGATGAGGTTGTGAATCTTCATCGACTGAGATGGTTGGGCCACGTGTTACGTATGCCTGAACACCGATTACCACGACGTGCAATGCTAACCGGTGTTGGAGATGGTTGGAAGAATGTTATGGGCGGCCAAACCAAAACGTGGCGTCAATGCTTGAAGTCACTGACTTCTAGTCTGAGCCATGTTGGTAGATGCAGTCTACTTGGTTGGGGTCCGCGTGACTATCGTAACCAATGGTTAGAGACTCTTGGTGACATGGCTCAGAATCTATCACAATGGCGTCGGTATGTACACTCTTTGTCTTCCCTTAAATTGTGAGATTAAAATTGCCTGATATTTTCCTTTCTATGAACTAATTCTTTCTCCCTTTAGTATATCCTTATATGCAACCTTTCTTTTACATATTACTACCATTGAAGTGACTGCTATGAATTTGGTGTTCATCTTGTTCAGTCAGTCAGCTACAACGTAGGACCAGGCATATATATGCATCGATCCAAGTTGCCATCCCTCATTAACACAACAAGATGGACACCGGATTCATAAAAGTAGTTAATTCAGAGGTGCTAATGCATAAAAGTAAGATTGCATACAAGGACATAGTACAGGATGACAGAATTAGTTCGTAGAAAGATATAAAGTGATTTTAATCTCTTAGTTTAAGGGAAGACAACGAGTGTACACACCGACACCATTGTGATCGTTTCTGAGCCATGTCACCAAGAGTCTCCAACCATTGGTTACGATAGTCACGCGAACCCCAACCAAGTAGACTGCATCTACCAACATGGCTCAGACTAGAAGTCAGTGACTTCAAGCACTGACGCCACGTTTTGGTTTGGCCGCCCATAACATTCTTCCAACCATCTCCAACACTGGTTAGCATTATTTCCATCAGTAGGTCTATGATGAAGTTAAACAAAAATGGAGAAAGTGGACAGCCATGGCGGACACCACTTGAGGTTGCAAAAGGAGATGACGGTTCGCCATAAGCTCTGACTCGACTTGTAGTGTTCGAGTAAAGAGCCTTCACAAGGTTTATGTACTTCTGAGGTACACTTTTCAATGACACACTGCCACAGGATGTCACGGTCTACGTAGTCAAATGCTGCTTTTAAGTCGAGAAAGACCACCATTGTCGGACGCCGATAAGTATGCCTATGTTCTAGAACCTGACGAATGGTGAATATGGGGTCGATGCAGCCACGAACAGGTCTGAAGCCGGCTTGATTTTCTCGTGTTTGCAGTTCACGAGTATTAGTTAGGCGTCTGATAATTATCGAGGTATGGCAACATGGACCGATGCATATATGTGCCTGGTCCCACGTTGTAGCTGACTGACTGACTGTCACAACGGTATGACTAGGAAATTAAGTTGAAAATAACAAGTAGCATAATATACAGTTCAACCAACCGCCAGATAGTCCCCGTCCGACCAAAAGGTACATCCTACTAAGACAGGGCAGGATACGTTTTCCCAGGTTTAGTCACGGCATATTTAACCAATTCGTTGAGTTTTAAAGGTCTTAAACACCCAAACAAGACCTCTAGCTTTACGCATAGTTGGCTCAAGAACTGCTGCATAGTTACTGATAGAGATCTCAGGATTCATTCTAGGAATACTACAGACGTCTAGTATGTCAGTTTGGTGTTCCTGTCATAAAACATCTTAGGTCACATCGTTTTCAAGGGACTATCTATAAAAGTACTGAGAACTGAACTATTACAATAATGGAAAGAAGAAATGTATTGTAGTAGACTGCGGGAAATGCATCAGTTTAAGCTGCTACATATCTCAACATAAAAATACAATCCGAAAGATACACAATTGACATAGACTAAGACAGGCAAATAGATCCGGAACAACATGGAGAGGGGGTGTATAGACCACTGCTCAATATTTTGCAGCCTCCAATTGCTGACCTGTAAAGAGTCACGAACAAAAGCCATCTACCTCTCTCTTACACGACTCAAACCAACACCTGCTAATTTAATATTCAGTCAGCTACAACGTAGGACCAGGCACATATATGCATCGATCCAAGTTGCTAAACCTCATTAACACAACAAAATGGACACCGGATTCATAAAAGTAGTTAATTCAGAGGTGGTAATATATCAAAGAAAGATTGCATATAAGGATATAGTACGGGAAGAAAGATATGAAGTGATTTTCATCTCTTAGTTTAAGGGAAGACAGAGAGCGTATACACCGACGCCATTGTGATCGATTCATAGACTAAGTTTACATATTCATTAACATAAAAAGTGCCTAAAGTTGAAACGAAGTACTATGAATGCTCGTGTTAAATTATGTTAGAATACACGAAACTGTAAGAGTATGAACGTATGGTTTTTACAGCACATAAATCTGACTTTGAACACAACACACAACAGTGAGAAAATGAAATTATACAAATAGTTAACAGAGATTCTATTGATTAATTACTTTTCTTATCACTATACAAGTCAGATACCAAGTTCTGCAAAAACCCATCATATATACTTCTTTGTAGTTCGCCTTTTATGTTGAAGAACTCCGCAGCGGACTTTTTGACGGAAAGCGTTTTGACCTTTTTGGTAATGCCGTCACATACCGTTACGCTTAAATGATATATGGGATCATATCTAAGGGCAAAATTGAGAATTTAGAATGATATTACTTGTTCATATATGAGCATACTGTCCATGAGTCAGCTGGATCTAATCCCGTCTTATCTTCTTTGAGTCCAGTAAAGAAGACATTCTTCTCTATATACATTACATACAGTGTAATTATAGCAGACAGGAAGAAGTAAAGTGTAACACAAACTATTAGTACTGCTCGGGAATGAGGATGTGGGTACAAGTAATCGAATAAGACTCCGAAGCCAGCTATTAGGACAGATATCGTACATAATATTAGTCGTCCATCGAAAAGTTTGTGTGTCTCGAGTAAACCATGCTTTTTCATGAATAACTACGAAATATTGCTTAAAACCTGTGTTACCTCTTTAGCTGCATCATCAAGTGCTATTTTTAGCGCACCAACATCCCATTTGTTGACTGTCACCTCTTTCGAAGTCTCAGAAGACATTTTAAAATATTGACGTGACGTTTGACAGAATACGTGTACAAATGGTTCATTCGAAGTACACCTTAACAAAATAGTAATGTTTGAGCTGCAATTTTTACTAAACAGCAACGTTTTATTATTTTCGAATGTACTTCGTATTCTTTTTATAGCATTGTTCTATTTTTAGACCATTACTGAAAATAATTTGGTTGTACTTCAAAACCTTAAAATTTTGGTGGAAACAAATAGCTAACAGTTTGTTCTTCAGTACTCGACTGTGAGTGGTAAGATGGATCACCTTATTGTGTAAGAGCATTGTTCTTGTTTTATTCCGTTCGAACCTAAATGGTAAAACCACTGGTAAATAATGATATGTTGAGAAATAGCATCTGAAATAAATTCTCGCAGTACTTGAGGAACTGGGGTAAAAGCTGAGCCTTCTTTATATGTGTTCGACGAGAGATGCTGTGACTATCGCTCTCGATCGGAAATTTTACAACTTACAGATTCTAATGATGGAGACGTTGACATGCATCGTCGTGAGAGCTGTCTTATGTCTTCTCTAAAGAACTATCTTCTTAGTATAATTTCGTGCTAAGTCATATAAGCTGCTTGTTAAGGCGACGAAAAAAGCACAAGATATGATTCAACATATTTACTACTGCATCTGTTGCAGGCCTGACGATGCCAAAGCAGCTAAGTAGGGTCTCCACATAATTACAAGTAAATTTGTGGTCGTTGTTCTTCTTTGAATTCGTTGCTAGATGACGATCTCTCCTTTAGGTAAAAGGATCTAATGTATATGCCGTTATTCATCGTTAGATTATTCTCCTCCGATAGTTTGTGTGTTCCAGGTTTGTTGGGAAGAATAATAAAATGCCGCCCCCGTTTGGTTCTGCGTCTGAGTTATGGGGGGCGATACAACCTGATAAGTTGAATGTAGTGGTCCCCTCGGAAATAAAGTGATCAGATATTAGTTGTGAACAGTGACCTATGGCGCGGTTGGCATCACTGCTTTATGCCATTAACGTTACACGCATTAGTATTTGTGGGAATCACATTACTAGTAAACTGACCATACTTTGTGTTCAAGTCGTTTTCTGTTATAGAGGTATCTGTCGGACCTGTGCCTTCGAACCATCTGAAAGATTGAGAGGACTGAACATTTGGTAAGTCGTTGATAAACAGTGACTGTTGATAATAATACTGAATAAGGAAGAGAAAGAGGTTTGGAAAACTATACTTATCGGTCTTACAAAACAAACAAACTATGACAGTTAAACATTCTTAAGAAACCTAAACCAATTCCGAGTTCCAGTTATTACTGTCACAAATATAACAGTTCATAATCTCCTGTATCGAACGTCGTGGGGAGCTCAGAAGTCTAATATGATATGATCGTTCAAGTTTAAATGACACGGTCCAACTGTTCACAGTGATAAGAATGTTATCTCTCAATCTCGGAGTAACCATCGGACGTGTGAGAAAGATAAGCTGTAGTTTACTTGCATTACGAGTTCTTTGGATTGCTCTGTGCAACTTTAACATTAGCATTTCGCTGGGTGCATCGCCTCTAAATTGTAAGACGTTTTGCTCACGATTTGGTCTTCCATATGCTCACTTTTTGCAGCTAAATGCTTATCTATAAATTTTTCAGGATATTCGTTTTCTTTCAAAGTGGCACAAAACGCCTTCGTTTTTATTAACCACATCTAGTAAAACTATGGTCTTGATTCTATAATGAAGTGTCTTAATCAGGTTTTTATATTGTCGGGGAACAAAACTAAGTACAATTGTATATTGGCCAGTGCAAGTATTTTTCTCGTTTAAGGTTTTTGTTACTCACCTACCTACTCTCCATGTAGGTGAAACATCTAGAAACGTTTTTCTACCTCTATTTTCTTCTCGACATCAGAATTTAATAGACGGTTGAATGCCACTAAATCGTTTGAATGTCTCTATCCGTCGTTAAAAATGATGAGCTTATCTTCATTGTGTCGACAGTATGAGAAAAACCTGCCTACATCCTGTCCAGTAGTCCTTTTTCCAGCTAAGTGGGGAGAATGTCAGCTAGTGGTAAATCAATCAGGACACTACCTATTTGTCTATATATTTCACAACTGAATTTGAAGTTCACGTCCATGATGCACACTAGTAATAATTCCTCCTTGGTGTCCACAGGATTTGTAGTCTCTATTTCTTGTTCTCTAATTTTTTCACAGATATATCTGATAGTTTCCCTGAGTTTGACATTTGTAGACAATGGTATTGCGTCTAAGGACATCATTACTTGTCATTTGTTGTTTACGCTTTTGAGGTTATCGGCAAACTGGAGTATATCCTTAATGCTATGCTTCACCAGGTGTCTATAGAGGGGGTTTAAAATGGCCACGAACCACTTTGCTGGAGTATGGTCAGGAGAGTTATGTATGTCAAAAATTGGTCTCTTTGGGATATTCGGCTTGTGTACCTTCGGTAATCCGTATAACCTCGGTAAACGTGCAGAACAATGTCTTAAACTAGATGGTTTTTAAAGGATTTACAAATGACGTTTTATATGGACTGAAGAGAGGAAAGAAATCTGTGTTTGTCATGAAGCTTCCAAGTTATCACTTTACCCGTTCAATTATATCACCCCACTTTTCTTGTTGAAAGGCAGTCTACTATGGCGACAAATAATTTTTTGGGAGGATATTCTCATAGGGATCGGATATTTTCGCTAATCATTTCGGTTTCAATGGACACTCCTGGCCACTATTTTTAGGTCAACTATCCTAGGCATATGTACTAACGCGCGATGTGACTTCGATGTAAGGTAGGAGACCATTCTAGTCCAGCCCGTTTCAAGTAAACACACTTCTTATAGGTCGTTTATATTTGCTCATTTCTCGTCACACCAAAACAAATGTGGTTCAGGTTTCTGAGTGTAGTTATGTCCGATATTTAGAAGTTTCATCATCTCTGAAAAGCATTAGATTCAAAAGGCCCAAGTTCCTGGAGGATTTTCATGACTATTATCTACGATCTGTGATCTTTTTGGTAGCGTTTCGTATCGAATTTTGTCGCAAACTACTCACAAACGTCGTCAGAGAATCTGTATCGACTATTCACGTAAGTGAAAACCATTTTTATCCTATGTTTACATATATTTATCGTTTACCTGTTGTAAATTCAGCCGGATAAACCCTATAACCTACTCTATTTCCTCCGATTTCGAAGCTTTGGTGTTTATCTATATCTCTGTACTAAGCTATTGGACTTTCGATACCTTCACTCAATGTAAACCAAGTCATACATAACTATGGGATTGTAGAGAGTATATTCAGCGTGCAAACAATGCCTATATCTTCTGGTCTGTATAATGCAGTGTTGTAATCCCGCTAAACATATTGTGCTCCGTTCTACAAATTTCGTGAACGCAAAGTAACATATTTTGTCGTAGGTGGTGATGATGCCACAAGTATTCGGAGTTTGACAATGCTTTCTTCAGTAACACCTTTATAATTGATATATACCAGCCCAGTCAAGTCAGGAATGAGAAACGAAGAGGTTGGAAGGTATATTTGAAAAAAATATCGATATATCGGGAAGCGTTTAATCTAAAATGGTTTACGGCTGTAAAAGATGCGTAGCACGACGTACCCACTTGTGATCTGGTGCGTGACCGAGAGCTTTCAGATAGTTGTCTCCAGTAAAACTAATGACGCCAACACCAATCGTCGAGGATTTGTTGAACTATTTATCCCGGGGATTTATTTGCCGCTACAACTCATCCTCCTCTAGTAGGGTATTGAGGACCCTAAGACGTGACTAGATAGAAGTTTAAACCAAACGAGCTAGCCATTGGTAAACACCCTTCTGTTAGCTTGCTATTTTCAGCAGCACCTAGTCGTCTTTCCCTAATATAAGGGGCCATTTGGTACACAAAAGCGATGAAAAAAAGGTACGATGAAACTTTCTATCCATCGCATTTTTCGTCAGTTTATATCGTTTACAGCCATCCTGAAAAAGAAAAAACAAATTGCAAACGCATGTCGAAATACACTCGTACGTACGTAAGAACACAAAATATAGTATTTAAAAAATAAAACTGCATACACACATACTGATAAAATTCAATCGCACAGAAAAAATTTTCGCACTGTTTTTTGGGTTTTTTGAAGAAACAACTACATACACATACATGAGCATATTAGTAAGAAAATGTTTGGTTTTAGGTTTTTGACATAAAAATACAAGATAAATCGAGACGAAACAAAACGTTATGTTATGTTCTAAGTGCAGTAAATATTCAAATGTTCTGGGAACCTTGCTCTCCTTCCAGGACGCGTTGCTATAGGCCGATTATCAGATACCACTGAAGTTTTTCCGTGACTGTTGATTATCGGATGTGGCATCGTAATTTTGGGGTTTGTATCGTTTGATTGTACCGAAGGAGAATCAGCATTATGCGGGTCTCCTTCCAAGTACGCGGCTTTAAGCCGATCATTGCTGATGTTATGATTAGTTCCGTTCTCATAGATGATCTAGTACTTAGGTTTTCGCTGAAGGACTTTGAAAGGTCCTCCATATGCCACTTCGATAGGTCATCTTAACGAGTCTCGAGGCACAAAATGTGTGTACTATGTCATGAGGCAGGTTGAACGAGTGAAAACAGATTCAACTGAACTCATGGCGTTTGTCAGCTTGCTCGAGTAAGACTTTAGATCCGCATTTATCAAAGAAGATGAAAGTTCCATGAACTCTCCTGGAAGTCAGAGTGTCCTTCCACAAAAGAGTTATGCTGTAGCGTATATAATTTCAGCATCCACTGCATTGCAGATAGCAAGTGAAACGAATGGAACAGCGACAGTACACTGTGAAAATTTCAACCGTCAATGAAATCGTCCTACCAACCCGTTTGTATGTGGATGGTGGGCGGTTTGTCCCAATCTACCGTGTTTTACAGTCGTTGAAAGACAGTGTTTAGGTGCTGGAGGTGAAATCCTCTGTCCGGAACTACGATCAAGCAGTTATGTGCGTGTACAAAGTTGAGGCCCGGAAAGGCTTCGTCTCTGAGCCACTACGAAGTTCTTGTATGATTTCTGTAGCCGAAAGGCATGCTCGAAAACCAGTAGAGACCGGAAGGAGCAACGATAACGGTTTAAGTAATGTCGTATGCAGCCGTGGGAATTTGATAATACGCTTTAACCAAATCAATTTTCGAAAAAAATATTCATACATTTTAAGGTGGCTGTCAAAGTGTGAATGTGAGGCAACTAGTAGTTATCGGTTGTCGTTTTCGTATTAAGTCGCAGGTAGTTGCCAGTTGGACGTCAATCATCGCCGTCCTTTTTAGAAGCCATATACAAAGAAGACCATCATGAGCTGGTTGATAGCGGAATAATTCATATGCCTATCATGTGGTAGAATTCGTTTTTTGCTCAACTTCAACTCTTCGGGAACCGGTCGGTGCGCTTTTAGGGAGACAGCTGATCCCGTAGTCGTGATGTAGTAACATTTCTGATCACGCATGGTAATTTTGTCTGCGTTTGGTACAGATCGGAGTGCTTACCAAGCATCTATTAATAGCGGAAGATCCAAATTTTTGCCCTACTCCGTTATGAAAGCGCGGTATATCGGTCTGCTTGTAACTTACGAACCCAAAGTAATAACAGAACAAAAATACATTTCAGGGACCAAAGTTTATTCGCACGTTAAAAATAACTGACCCAAACATCATCCCAATAATAATCGTAAGAATTGCAAAAAAATTCAATTTTTTAAGTTCCCGGGGCACGAACGTACAAGTACCAAAACAAAGATAAAAAGAGATATCGAAATGTCCGAAATCAAGGATCAGACAGTCAGCTACAACGTAGGACCAGGCACATATATGCATCGATCCAAGTTGCCATCCCTCAATAACACAACAAGATGGACACTGGATTCATAAAAGTAGTTAATTCAGAGGTGGTAATATATAAAAGAAAGATTGCATATAAGGATATACTAAAGGAAGAAAGAATTACTACATAGAAAGGAAAATATCAGGCAATTTTAAGGGAAGACAAAGAATGTACATACCGACGCCATTGTGATCGATTCTGAGCCATGTCACCAAGAGTCTCCAACCATTGGTTACGATAGTCACGCGGACCCCAACCAAGTAGACTGCATCTACCAACATGGCTCAGACTAGAAGTCAGTGACTTCAAGCACTGACGTCACGTTTTGGTTTGGCCGCCCATAACATTCTTCCAACCATCTCCAACACTGGTTAGCATTATTTCCATCAGTAGGTCTATGATGAAGTTAAACAAAAATGGAGAAAGTGGACAGCCATGGCGGACACCACTTGAGGTTGCAAAAGGAGATGACGGTTCGCCATAAGCTCTGACTCGACTTGTAGTGTTCGAGTAAAGAGCCTTCACAAGGTTTATGTACTTCTGAGGTACACTTTTCAATGACACACTGCCACAGGATGTCACGGTCTGCGTAGTCAAATGCTGCTTTTAAGTCGAGAAAGACCACCATTGTCGGACGCCGATAAGTATGCCTATGTTCTAGAACCTGACGAATGGTGAATATGGGGTCGATGCAGCCACGAACAGGTCTAGAGCCTGCCTTTTGAGCTGTCTTGTGTTACCTACAATCACCTCCTTTTCCATCTGTTTTGCTTCCATTGCCCACCACTGCTCACGATCGTTTCTTAGACTTTTATATAACCTGGATCTGATTTGTTTTTTGCTCTTCTTCGTGTTCAGAGCCTGATTGGGTGAATTTACGAGAATACATCAGTAAATTGATAACTCATTATTAATGTCACCATGCAGATGTATGATATGTGTTTAAGACCTTGTAATTAATGACTGAACTGAAAATCCTATCTAACAAAAAAACTAGTTTTTAATGAAAACATTTTATCCAAGTGTTATAATATGTGAAACATGTGTTTAAATCATCTGAACTTCGGTGTTATTTGTGCCCTACAATAGTCTGTGGTTTTTAACTGAGCCTTTGTAGTGTTTTTCAAAATAAATTCTACACTTAATCAACAGCCATTTTAACTATTTTACAGTAATTAAATAAGTGTATATTTCTTGGTCTTAAAGATTTTTAAAGGTTAAGATTGGTCAGTAACGTAGTGAAAATACTTAATCGGTCAATCTCATTTAGTCAGTTGTATATTTCATAAATGTGTAGAAGCGAACATTAATGAAAGTTTAAACTTTACTGCAAATAACTTAGTTTTCCATTATATACTCTGATTATGAGCCAGTGAATATCGTTTTGAAATTCCCTACTTAAGTCATTCATCACTATCAATAAAGTAGTCTGTAGCTTTACAGTGAATTATTAAAATATAGAGACTATAATGTATCACTCATAAATTAGTACTTCCACTACACTAGTTCGGAACTGCATTATTCTGATTGTTTAATCAGTGACAATGCAATATCACAAATAAGTTTTTAATCCTAATGAGAATTAAAAATGTGAATTATTTTACCGAACTTAATTGCCTACCACAGAAACATTTATTTTTATAGATTTAAAACTCTTATCTATAGAACATGAATTCTCTAGTGTTCAAAGATGAGAGTAAAGATAAATAAATAAGATTTTTAAAAAAATTTGGTAGAATAGACAAACTATCTCGAATTAGTCTGCCATTCACGACTAATATAGAAAAGAATTAGTTTCATCCTTGAAAATATAGTTAAGGATGATCATGAATACGTTTAAATCAATTGAATGGAATATTAAATGATTCAGAAGTTTCAAAAAACTCGATCGATTTTTACTAACACTCCTATCCATTCTGATCATTATTCATTTAGTGTTTCTTGTATATAAAATGTCTCAAGAGCTGTCTCATAGAAAGATGGAACATCTTTGTATTGAATTATATTTCGTTAGAAACTGAGAAATTATAGTCTTTAATATCAATAAGAAAACTCAATATTTTACATATATAACCAAGAAGTATATCTGTCGCTTTTTCAAATGATGAAATAAAATGGAATGAATGAGTATTTTTTTATGGTTCATGCCTTGTAAATCAGCTATTAAGATTTGAATTTCAAAAGGAGTGGTTAGAACATTTCAAATTATTAAGTTTAAAAAATGTTCGGATAGATTCTAATTGAATTTTTTGGTTCATAATGGTTCTTTAATCTAAGTCTATCTTAACTACCATATTGAAAGTAATATATTTCACAAAATTCGTTATTGAGTTCTTTACTTCTAAAACTAATAAAACTTTGAAAAATTGCAAGATATCCCTGTCAGTCAGTCAGCTACAACGTAGGACCAGGCATATATGTTCATCGGTCCAATCGGTCCTTGAAAAAGTTTTGATCAGATTGCCAGGCGAAACGTTGGATTTACTTCAAATTCTTTCGCTGAGATTTTATAAATACATTCTTCATCTTTAATGACTCATGTTCTTATTGTTTTAAGTAACTTAGACAGTGATTCTTAGTAGGAAAAGACGTTTGATTAATAGCGATGTTTATTTTCAATTCTGCAAAAATCTATACAATATACTATATATATATATATATCCAGAAGATATTAGATTTGTTTAACCATTATACAGAATTGATACATTTTTCCATTGTTCAATGGTTTTCTTACGACGAACTTAATCAAATGTTGATAGGTGAAATGAGAACAAAATTATTATTTAAAAAAAAACATTACGCATTGAAAGAAAGAAATAAGATGAACAATTAACCAGCATAAAACTGTTCTACTTGTATTTTTTTCTTGTTCATTTTCAACTGTTGTTTTATTCTATCACTGTTCATTGATAATAATAATAATAATAATTAATTGCCTTGAATTCTTTTGATTCATAAATTGAAGGTTAAATGTTTCTATTCGCTTATTTATAAGTGTCAATAGATAACTGAATGAACTAATAAAAAAGAAAGAAACAATGTGCACTGATGTATTGATGACATTCGAACAAAGTGCTAGCATAATCAAGAACTGTACATAGTTTTGAGAAGAAAAACAAAAACATACTTTTCAATAATACAATGAAACCAAATTAGTTATATAAAAAATGGAAGTAAACTGTATGTATATGTATTTATGTGTAATGAATGATCTATTTGTAAAAATATTTTTATGAATAATGTGCTTCTTCTCCAAGATGAGTAAAGAATTCAACAGAATCATTACTTTGATGACCACAACGATTGCATAAATAAGGATCAGAATGACTATGAAATCCCATATGTATATCATATAGAGTACGTTGACGAAAGCGTATTTCACAAAATCGACATTCATGAGTGAAGTCTGATGAATCTTTATTATTATTATTATTATTATTATTCAAACTATCATCCATTAAGGTTGTTGTTGTTGTTGATGATGATGATGATGATGATATGATTGACGACTTAACAGTTTGTGACTCTTTTATGTACGATTTTTTATTGTTTTTTTCACGTTTGATAATTTGAAAATTTTGTTCATTATCTTCAGAAGTGTTTGGTCTATGAAATTTATCACAGCTTATAATTTGTTTAATACATGATGCAGAGGATAAATCTAAAGCTGATTCAAAATCATTACATACAGGTTTATTTGATATGATCATTTTTGTTTTTTCTAAGTTCCTACATGATGTTTCACTGGTTTCAATGATTTCCATTGATTCTTGTTGTAGGATTTCTTTTTCTTGAAGAAATTGATGTTTATTAGATGTAGTAAACATATTAGAAGTAGTAGATGATGAACAAATTGACGAATGATTTAATTCATTTATTGAATGAGTAATTTTGGTATTTGTATTTAAATTAAATGAATTAATTATTGGATAATTTATTTCAGAAACGTTTGAAATAGTATTATTCAATTCATTTGCTTGTATATATTTACTACAATTGGATGATGTTATAGAAGTTACTACTTGATTATTACAACATTCAACGGATGATATTGTATTAGAACTATCTGTTGTACAAAGAGAATTAGATGGTGTAAAATTTAAATCAGTGAATTCTGTTAAATTTGTTGAACTAGATGAAATTAAATGAGCTCGACTAAAATCACCACATTGCATTGCAGCCATAAAAGCTACCATTGATGAATATGCAGAAACGGAATAATTTAAAAATGGATCAGAAGTTACAGTTACACATTGTCCTTCAATTTCATTTGAATTACAACCTGTTGGATTTGAATAGGAATTCATAATTGTATTATTACTAGTAATTGATGAATCACTAATAGAATTAATAATTGGTATTGAGTCTGATGTTATGGAATTAACTGTTTCCATGAACTTCACCGGAATATTATTTGCACTAGTAAAGGTTGGAAATAGTATAGGTGTACTTAAAGTTGAATTTGAAAATGAAATGTTATTTGATTCTGTCGTTACGAATGTTTTGAATCCAGACACTGACTGGCTTGTATTAAATGATGAATTACAATTTACATTCATGGGTATATTCATGGAATTTGCATTTTCCATAGTTTGATTTTGATATTCTTTATTTGGAGTTGTATTTTCACTTGTTGAACATTTAGATGTTGTACTAACATGTGTAGCTTTTTCATTGATACATTTTAATGCTGACGACCCTTTCATTCTATTTTTTGTTGATTCTGATGAATTACGGCGTTTGCAGTGTGATTTTGAATTACCATGTCGAATATTCGGTCCACGTTTCACATTCATTAATTCTACTGTATTATCATAGGGTGGTAGACTTCCATCAGAATTTAAAACTACAGCTGGCTTATGTTCATGCTTTGTAAGGTGTAATTTTAAACTATGACAATATTTTGTAGCATAATTACAATTTGCACAACGATATGGATAAACGTTTGAATGAGATTTCATATGACTATTTAACATTGACTTATTGACACATTCATAATTACACTTTGGACATTTATAGGGTTTAGATCCCATATGATTACGCATATGATATTCTAAATGATGTTTATATTCTGTTATAAAACAGCATAAATGACATTCTAACCGTTTATCTTCTTTAATATGGATACGTAAATGACGCCAAAATTCATCCTATAAAGCCAAGAGAATAAAAAATGTTCCTGAACGAGAATCGATAAAATTTCATAAACTCATTATCAAAGTATTGAAAAATATATTTGATATACGAATACCTACGATTCAACGATAGTTTCTAAAAATAGTTCTAAGGCATTTGTTGTTGTAGACTATGCTAAAAGACCTACCAATAGGTCACAATGTTCAAGATAAAGTTCCATCAGTAAATATCTTTAACTTCATTTTATTTTATCATTCATATGTGTTTATAATGATTTTGCATCACAGAAAGGATATTCATGTAATGTAATTACCATTTGTTTGATATTATTTTATCTATTTAACAATTCATTTGTTTTTCTATAGTCCAGTTTATCTGACTATTATTTATATGCTTGCCTACCTATCTAGATTGTATTGGTGTAAATTCAGTTGGCAAAACTTTTATCAATTTCCAATAAATTTGTACACTATTATGATAACATTCTATCAGATTATACGACAGTTTAGAGGGAACGTGTACACTATTTTCATTTTGATCTCGTACTTCAATTGATAAAGCATTATTAATCTGGTTCAGAGGTTACTAATATAAATATGCTGATTTCGCGTAGATCTCTCAGCTTATGTAATTATCTTCGTATATAATTAGAGACTATAAATGAAAATCAACTTAAGTAGTTTGATTGCTCGGTATTTCAGCTAACATAAATGAAAACGATTACTAGTGTAACTAAAATTTTGACTGAAAAATTGGTAGTGTATATTGACTATTAATTACACAAGTGTTTATTCTCGAAAAGTTTGCAATCTGAAATCAACATTTATAGTGTTAAAATGATTGGATTTGTTTAAATTATTCAGTTAGTTAATTTGAAACAAACTGTTTTTATTTATTAAAAACCAGGTAGTATGTGACAAATAAACATTTCAAGAATTTCACTGATTGAAATTATGAGTCAATTGAAGCAAGACCATTATGGAAAACCTGGAAGCACTGGAAGGTCGTTTCTTCCTCGTATGGGACTCCTCAGCGGGGCTCATCCACGATCCCGCACCCCTCGAGATTCGGACCCAGGACCTATCAGTCTCGCTCCAGGCGCTTAACCAACTAGACCACTGAACCGGTCGGCATCCAATGGTGTTAATGTCCAACTTCAACCAATCCACGAAAGTGCGCCACCGTACGCCATTGTCTTCAGTGAGTTGATATCTCACAACAGACCTGGTTGAACTCCACTGGTCACTACTTCTCACTAGAACTCCAGGAGTATCTCTTGAAGTCAGTCATCAGTGAGCAGATAATTATTATCAGAAGGTGTTTTATGGAGAATTTAGAGTAGTTGAAGTTAGACATTAATACCGTTGGATGCCGGCCGGTTCAGTGGTCTAGTTGGTTAAGCGCCTGGAGCGTGACTGATAGGTCCTGGGTCCGAATCTCGAGGGGTGCGGGGTCGTGGATGCGCACTGCTGAGGAGTCCCATACTAGGATGAAACGGCCGTCCAGTTCTTCCAGGTTTTCCATGGTGGTGTAGCTTCAACTGACTCATGATCTTAGCCATTGAAATAATTATTAATAAAATTTAACATAAAATTTACCTTTGTATCTGTGACAAAATCACATTGTTTGCATCGTTGCAATTTTGAACGTATAGATCTGATTGTTTTACCAGAGAAATTTTCCGGCGGTACATCGGAATGAAAATCTTTCATATGACGTTTTAAACGACCTTCTGTACGTGAAGTGTAATCACATTTTAAACATTTATAATCATAATGTGATAATAAATGGTCTTGAAATTCTTGTCTACCACTTCCTAAAATGTAAAGTGATAAAGGAAACAAAAACTGTCGTCAGAAATTTGATAATATAACTAGTAATTTAATTAATTAGAAGAATGCTTTCATTATGAGTGTAGATTGATTAAAACGAGGTAAGTGATAGTATTAAATATTATAATGCCTGTTCCTTTAATCTTGGATTTTTTTGGGAACAATTATTGCTACATAACAGAAATCTCTTACATATCCGGTTCTACTAAGATTGTAGCCACGGTGAAAGAATTCTGAAATTTTGTTTTGTTATTGACGACTCTTTGAGTTTATTTGTTTTTAGTGTACCTTGGCAACCTGTTATTCAACTGGCGAGGTCCTAATACGTTCTAATACATGTAAAATTCATGTCTGGCTACATATATATGTTGTTTATTATACCAATTATTTGGGAGTTAAATACAAATCGTTTGTTCACAGAGGTCATTTGACTGCATGAAAGACGTTGATAAACTAAGCTAATATTTAAAAAACACTTTATATCATATGGTAAAGTAATTCAACTAGTTACTTGAACGATAAATTAAATTATAGACCTTGATAGGGTGATTGAAATTTGAGTTGACAGAGTCTTACACAATCTTTCATTCTTTTGGCCATATGATTATTACTTGATTTGAAACATTTTGGTCAGTTATTTCATGTTGTGTTGTGTTTTGTGTGTATCTCCTTGAATTAAGATAATACATTTTACGGATTCTAAACTATTCTAAAACATCATTCAATCAATAAATTCAATGAAGATTTAATAGCAAGCTCATATATAGTTCCTACGTTTCTAGCATAAATATCAACAATGGTCATTTTTATTCCTTTAAGATAATTTAATCATACTTTTTCTACATATGTACTTGTGCTACATTTCCACGCTGATTTGGATAATTGTACAAAGCTTAATGACTAGTAATGTACCTAGTTAGTAAATTTCAAGGACCTGCTTCCATATGACCAATTATATATAATGGACTTCTTCATATCCTAGTGGCTGGCATTCAACTCGATTGTAATAACAGAAAAACTTGGTTACTGTAATAGTTCATTTGACTTTTTATTCTGCTTTGTTCATTATAACATTTTAGGAAATTTGATCAACTGATAAGTCATGTCTAACAGTTCATTCAATTGTTTATATTAAAGTTACTGGTAAACAGTTGTAAAAATAAACATACAATAAAAACATTTATTTTTTTATTTGTTTATCTGATTTATGCTTAAATATGTTCTTTTCCGTTTAGATTACGTAATCGACTTGAATTAGAGAAACTGACACATGGATGATGAATACTTCAATATCATTTTTGTATATTTTTATGTAATGTTCGATCTACAAGTAGTAAATATCATAAGGGGTTTTGAGGAGATTTTAGAAATTTCACTGGTTGGAATAATGAGTCAATTAAAGCTACACCACCATGGAAAACCTGAAAGAACTGGACGGCCGTTTCGTCCTAGTATGGGACTCCTCAACAGTGCGCATTCACGACCTCGCCTCCTGAGGGATTCGAATCCAGGACCTACAGGTCTCGCATGTGAGCACTTAGCCACTAGACCACCGAACCGGTATCCAGCTGTGTTAATGTCTAACTTCAACCAATCCACAACGTTGCGCCACCGTACACCTTTGTCCTCAGTGAGTAAATATCTCACAACCGACCTGGTTGAACTCCACGGGTAACGGCCGTTCAATGCTTCTGCGTTTTCTATGGTGGTCTAGCTTCAATTGACTCATGATTTCAATCAGTGAAATAGTAAATAGTCTTAAATTTGGACCTGTTAAAATATTTTAAGCTTCATCGAGTAAAATCAGTTGAAATCATCTAGAAGTTAAGCGTTCTCACATGAGACTGAAGGTCCTGGATTCGAAAGGGTGTGCAATGCTCAGAAGTTTCATACTAAGACGAAATGGCCATCAAGTGCTTTCAGGTTTTTGATGACGGTCTAACATTGATCTACTCATAATATCAATCTAAAATCATCTAATACCTAGTATCAACTTTATACAATTCTATAAAATTAATCATCCTATATTTTGCACGGTTTTGTATAAATTTCAAACTTAATTTTGAATCAAAGTGATTTTCTTTGAATCTTGAAAAATATCAATTCAAAAAGTATCATGGAATATTTTTCTTTACTGTTTGTGTAGCAAATTAACTAATGATATCTCACTAAATTTAGGTGTATTTTCAACAACAAAAAAATCGGATAAACGCTTTACACCCATATTTCTTCTATTCTAAAGAGGCCTTAGTAATTTCTTTTATAATAATGTGTTTTTAAAGTCTGTACTGTTTAAATGCATCTGTATTATTTCGCTAACTTAAGAGTTAGGATCAATGATATCATCCTCAGTGTTACATGAGCATACAAGCTGTTTTCACCAAAGACCCTGGTTTGTGGATAATATTAACTTAATAGCGAGTATAATTAACAAAATGCCTTGTAATTTATATTTCGACATTACAAGTTCATGTAGTTTAAAACTGCAGTAAACTTAAAGTTCAAATGTGACTTTTGAGCTAAAATGCATAGTAATCTTATAAGGTAATCTTATAAGATAATTATCAAATACAAAAAAACAACAACTAAATACCAATGATTATGTTAAGACGTCCGTAAGAATTGTAACAATCAGCTTGAAACTTGTAAATCACAATATCAAATGAGTTTTCTTTATTATGACTTTACAACTCAATACTATTGCGTTGTGCTACTGATGTCGATAGAAATAAGTAGCATGTATCATTAATTGAAAGTAAAATATCTAGCAGCATAAGGTGGAAAGAGAACAAGAACAGAGAATAGTGTGGAAACGAAAGAACAACGTAATCTGAGACGATCGGTTAACATTTTGCAAATAAAGTATTTACTATATGATTCTCAGATTTCACTAAAATTTTATGTTCAACTACATTTGATTGTCCTCATTTGTGTTCTCATTCACTACACTATCACACATTTTTATGCTATAGGCATCTATGAGTACACTTATTTATTAAATTTTATTATTAATTACCAGTGGAGTTCAACCAGGTTAGTTGTGAGGTAGGAACTCACTGATGACAATGGTGGATGTGTCGCTCAATTTCATGGATTAGTTGAAGTTAGACAATAACACCGTTGGATGCCGGCCAGCTCAGTGGTCTAGTTGGTTAAGAGCTTGGCGCGAGACTTATAGGTCCTGGGTTCGAGTCCCGCGAGGCGGAGCCTTGTATGTGCACTGCTGAAGAGTCCCTCAATGGGACGAAACGGCCGTCCAGTTCTTCAAGGTTTTTCAAGGTGGTCTAACTTCAACTGACTTATGACTTCAACTGTTTAAATTATCATTGTTTCAATGGGGAAAAAAAGGAGCTAAAATTGATTTCTTTTAAAATAAATAAAAATGAAAGTTTATCATGTCAACATATTATGAACAAACAAAAGCATAATTTTCATATTAGATTTTTCATTATTTATAAAAATTTATTTTATTTATTGAATGTTTTTTCTCTATAGTTTTCCCTTTAAATAAACCAATCAAAAGTAACACAATGATAAACCTACTTATTTATTTATTTACTTATTTGTATATCATGTTTTTAGTGAATTTATCCATTTTAGTTATCTACTGTTTGTATACAAACCTTTTTTTGCTCCTATTCAGTTATTCCACCACATGCTCATCACCATCATCATCATTATCATCCATTCATCCTTCTTTTTTTTTCTTATACACATATATGTGTATAAACAATTTCATGCTTTTTCTTTGTCGCATATTATTCTTATGATTGTTAATAAAACTATTTATTTTTTTCATGATTTTCTTGGGAGTTTCTTCTCCTTCCTTTTTTATTTCATTGTTATTTTTTAACCTTGTTTTCATTAGTTTAAACATTAGAATACATGAATATTCCTTTTATTTTTCGTGTTATTTTATCTTATACAAAAAGAGATTGTTTTATCACCTGGACACCTGATGCTTTTGAAAGACATTTTATGCATGCAATCACATTCTATGTTTATATATATGTATATATATACAACTTCTAAATCCCTATACATTAACATACAAACATGTATATGACTACTTATTTACATTCTGAGTAAAACAAAGTTTTTTTTGTTTTCTTCTTCTATTCCAACTCATCTTTATTCTGTTATTCCAATGTAATATGCTAAAATCATATTTTTTTGACTAATCATAATCATCATCATAATAATAATAATTTCACAAAGGAATCTAGATATAGCAGTAATAATAATAATAATAGTAATAATAGTAATAATAATAATAATAATAATGTTTAATTATTGGTATTTTTAAGAAAAATAATTTTAGACAAATTAAAAATTGAAAGACAAAAATTTTTTTCTCTATCAAACTTATGGATGAAACTGTTTTACAATTTAATTAATCAAAACGTCATTTTAGTTTCTTCTCTTCGATATCCCTTTTTTTAACTGAACTAAACCCTCCTGACTGTACCTTTTTCTTTTGTTTTTACTGAATTGTATCAGTTACTATAGACGAGTTTTGTTCACTTATTTCTATTCATCGTTAGTTGAGTGGTGTATACCTATTGTGATTCACAGTTGTATCAGTATCAATCACGACTGTTGCTGTTAACTTGATGCGGTGATCGAGCTTGACTATCGTAAGGAAATAATCGAGCTATACTGACTGGAACAATCGTTCCTCAAGGTTTTACCATGCCATACAGGTCGATTGAAGAGCGGTAAGACTAAAAGAAAAAAAAACTAAAGATCCGAGGATGAAGTTGTACTGTTAATTGTAGAGAGGTGTGACTGCAGTAAGGTGTTTCTTTCGGACAACAAGCATAATAGTGATGCTGTCTTCCCACAAAGGAAAGGTGGGGTTAGAAAAGGTTAACTCTAAAAATGCACAGCTTGCCTTATCCCACAGATTTCCGTCTCCGGCAGTCAGGTTCCAACCATTACGGAGCTAACACGAAAATTACTCACGAAAAGTTCCTGTGTGTCC